CCAAGGGATCTTCCCAACCCAGGGACTGAACCCACGTCTTGTGTCTCCTGCATTGGCAGGCAGGTTCTTTGCCACTAGCGCCACCTGGGACTGACTAAGTAAATCACCACAGATGGAAACCACCAATTTACAGAGGGAAACGGAAGCAGAAGGAAAAGAGACAATGGAGAAGTAAATCTAGAGCTAAAGAGACCCGAGGAATCATCCTCCTTGATCCTAATTGATGGGATTCTGTGGATGAAGAACCTGAGGTCCCACAGGTTGAGAGTGTATTCAGTGGCCCATGACTCGTGGCAGAACCCAGACTAGAACTTGGGGGATCTCTGCTCTCCTTCCCTGGCAGCCCTGGTTTCAAACCCGGAAGTAGAGTGAAAGAAAAGAAAGATTTGTTAATGTTTCATTTTGCAGAATTCTCAAATGTTAGGGAAGGGAACCTCCTGATTAACTACATCATCCCAGGAAGAAGGGACAGGGGGATGGAGATAGATAGATTATAGATATGAAAGACAGGTATTAAAGTTCATGTGAAAAATTTAATGACAATTTGCCCTTATTAAGAGTAAGTAATATATGCGTGAATAATTTTTTATATATTTTATGATTTTTTTTTAATGTAACTGGGAAGACAGGAAATGTTGATTTTCTTTCCTGTAATGTCACATGCATTAGTAGCGGTGCCTGCATCCAAGAGAACAGTTGTACGGGGATGAACCTTGCCGTTTGGGCCCCTCCTTTACCTTTGATGCCTGGCCATTTCCTCCTGTGAAGGCCTCAGCCTCTGGGTCAGGTGGCACCAGGCTCTGGAGGACAGTGAGCTGAGAGCAATACAGGTTCCCTTTCTTCTTGTTAACTTACACCATGTGATGTAAATAGCGGTGACCAGAGAGCAAATGTTCCCCAGCTTCCCACAGAACCTCCTGCAGTGGCCCGCATGAGAGCATAAAAATAGACCTTTTGGGAAAGAGCCTGTGACCCTCTGTCACTCTGTTCTGGATAAAGGAAGTGCAGGAAGGGGAAGCCGAGGGGAGAGGACACCGGACATCCCGGGAGCCCAGAGGGAGAGGCAGGCGCCCTCCTCTCTGCCCTCAGCCCAGCACCATCTGCTCAGAGAAAACCAGGAAGTGAGGGGGCTGATTTCCAAACACTGGAGGCATTATGTGGGCTCCTCTGGGTGTCAGCAGGGAAAAGAAGATGCGGGAATGTGGTGAGGAGGACCAGACCTGGGCTTTGCCAGGAGGATACCTAAAAGAGCCCAGATCCACTTGGGCACCAGGGCTCCGGCGTGCAGGGGGTGTCCGGCAGTGTCCGTGGAGGCCCTAGTTCCCCCGCAACTGTGGACACAGCCTAATGGTAACTGTGGCCCTGGAAGTCTCACTGTCCCGGAGCCCCTTATGTGGTTGGTTTAGGACAAATGGACATGCTGTCTGTGGTGTCCAGGGTGGAGAAAAGGCAGCCAGGACCAACGCCTGCAGAACTGCTCTCATCTCTAAATTCTCATCTGCTCCCATGGATGTCACTGCACCCCTGAACCTCCTTCTGGGTCCATAGCTGAGAAGACAGAGCCCTGACCCCGAGTCCCCAGTAGGCAGCAGGGCCCATGGAAGGTTCTCCTTTCAGAAATTTCACATATTGTTCAACTGTGAATGGCAAATGTGCAAGCTGAACAAAAACCAGTCAGGATACATCCTTCCTGCTCTCAGGGCATGCACACTTTGAGAAATGAGGCAGATTCTTGCAGAAGGGTCTGCAGGCTTCACTCACGCGACTGGTGTCTCCATCTGTACTTGAACTCAGATTTCAGGGTCCTTCTCCAGCCGTGTGGGACCCCTCTTCTTATGTCTCTAGATTCCCAGTGCGGCTAGGGGGCAGTGCCCCACTGCTTGGAGAATGAAGGGTGTGCCCTTAGCTCCCACGAGGCCCCACTTGTAGTACCCTTTGCATCTCTGAGCACACGGAGGGACCAGGAAGCTGGGATTTCCACTCCGAAGTGCTGGGTCACCCCCTTAGGGGTTAAATCCTGTTGCCCTGGCAGGGGCTGATCTGAGCAGAAGGCACCAAACCCAGCCACGTGCCCCAGAGCTGGCTCTAGCTGCGTTAGGAACAAAGCCACTTTCATGGGAAGCACTGTGCTTGTTGTTTTCTGGAACAGGCAGCGTGATAACAGCACAAAGTGGGATCTCATTTTCCTTTGACTTCTTCTCCTTTGCTGGGACTCCTGTGCACCACATGAGGGTGGTGTAGGATTCCTGAGGTAGCTGGGATTCCTATGGCCCCTGGACTTGCTGACACGCATGCCCTGTGACTTCATGGGGACCACCGAGAGCAACCTCGGTAGCAGAGGAACTGACCCTGTGCAGAGGAATATCTGAAACACCATGCATGCATCTTTGCTTTTCTGTCCCACTTCAATCAGAAATATTGAAGTGTGGGCTTTGGAGACCATCCTCTTGGTTAATTCATTCAGCAAACATTTATTTTAGAACATTTGCTGTAGGATGTTGTGCTGGCATGAGGGGCAGTTAAACAGCATAAGTAGGATGACTGCATCTGCTCTAGGAATTTATAGGTGAGTCGTAGCAGGAGACACACTAGCCTTGTGTATGACACTGACATTAGCACACCCAGCTCTGAGTGATCATGGAGCGTTTGCAGCTGGGTGCGGGCAGCGTCTGCTCAAAGTGGGATCTCATTTTCCTTTGGCTTCTTCTCCTTTGCTGGGACTCCTGTGCACCACATGAGGGTGGTGTAGGATTCCTGAGGTAGCTGGGATTCCTATGGCCCCTGGACTTGCTGACACGCATGCCCTGTGACTTCATGGGGACCACCGAGAGCAACCTCGGTAGCAGAGGAACTGACCCTGTGCAGAGGAATATCTGAAACACCATGCATGCATCTTTGCTTTTCTGTCCCACTTCAATCAGAAATATTGAAGTGTGAGCTTTGGAGACCATCCTCTTGGTTAATTCATTCAGCAAACATTTATTTTAGAACATTTGCTGTAGGATGTTGTGCTGGCATGAGGGGCAGTTAAACAGCATAAGTAGGATGACTGCATCTGCTCTAGGAATTTATAGGTGAGTCGTAGCAGGAGACACACTAGCCTTGTGTATGACACTGACATTAGCACACCCAGCTCTGAGTGATCATGGAGCGTTTGCAGCTGGGTGCGGGCAGCGTCTATCCAGGGGCTTACAGTGTATTTTGTACCAATAGAACAGTAGCAGTCGACTTTTCTGTAATCAAAAGTTTACTAAAGGTTTAAAAGAATTAACACAGAATTTGGATACCACCCTCCTCCCCAAATGGGACAAGTGCTCTGTTTAAGTTTGTCATTGATTTTCGAAAGTTTTACTATTAAGTGATTAAGTGTAGTTGTCTTTTTACTTATCCTGCTTAGATTTCATGATTTAAAAAAAAAAAAAAACGTATGGCTTTAGATTTCTTTAGTCTGTTTTGGGAAATTCCCAGTAAATATATTTCCCAGTATTGATTCTGTCTCACTGAATTTCTCCACCCCTTCTTAAACTCCAATTATATGTGTTAGAATTTTTCATCATGTCTCACATGTCTTTCTCCTCTTTTCCATCCTTTTCCTCTCATGGCTTTGGGCTGGATATTTTCTTCTGGACCAGTCATCATTTCTGCTGTCTCTAGTCTGCTGTTACAATCATTGACCTAAGACTTAATTGTATTAATTGTGTTTTTAAGTTTTAGGTTTTCTGTTTGATTATTCTTAAGGGACTCCAGATCTCTGGTGAAATTCTCTCTTGTCTTTTATTTTCTGAAACATTTTCAGTTTGGTGCTGAATTGCTTAGTCAGTCAGTCGTGTCAGACTCTTAGTGACCCCATGGACTGTAGCCCACAAGGCTCCTCTGTCCATGGGATTCTCTAGGCAAGAATACTGGAGTGAGTTGCCATTTCCTCCTCCAGGGTATCTTCCCAACACAGGGATCAAACCTGCGTCTCTGGCATCTCTTGCATTGGCAAGTGAATTCTTTACCACTAAGCCACTGCAGCTTCCCTTTTAAAATCTGTGCCTTTTAACTCCAGTGTTTGTATTAACCTGCGGGTGTGTTTTCCTTTTTTTTTTTCATTTTTTGTTTTGTTTTTTATGTTTTTGTTTTGTTACCTGGAATGCCTGATCAGTTTTTTAAATAAATATTTTATATTGTGTCCAAAAATTATAGACAAATTGATAGATGGATAGATAGCTGTTAGATGGTTGGATAAATGGATGGATGAGTGGATGGATGGATAGATAGGTGGATGGAGTGTGATGGATAGAGCTCAGTAACATGAGTAATGTGAAATTTTTTCAGCTTTATTATTTTCTGATCAGTCCTCCCTTGTTTTAAGGCAGAAAGCAAAATAACTTGTATTTCTGATAGTGTTATTTTATTATTTATTGACTATGGTAGATTTTTCTAGTTCTCAAAAATTAGTTTTTAAAAGTATTTTGCATATTTTTAAAAATATGCAGAAATAGTAGTGATGCTAGACTGTAAGCAGGGTGGACATCTGGTCAGTGGAACATGTGAAGTTGCCTGGGGTTTGTAGGGTGTCAGGCAGGGTTTCCTGGTGTTCGGTTTCTCATCCTCCCTTGACAAGAGTCAGGCCAGGTGGTCTTTGCACCTCCTGGGGGTGAAGACATTGCAGGCAGGGCTGTGCTCGCGGAGTAAAGTGTTAGTCGAAAGCACACGACTCATCAGTTGCCCACCCACCCCACAACTGCTGGTTTGCACTTTCTTTGGTTTGCATGGAGACCTTGCCATTTCTAGAGTGAGAAATGGTTTATCTCATTGGGGCAGTAAGTGTATCAGAGTAAACTGGTCCTCAGCTTACTCACTGACGATACTCATGAGTATGTGTTGACAGCCGCAGGGACCTGCCAGCTATTTCCCCTTTGGAAATGTACTGGGAAAGAGGAGCCTACACTTGGTGGAGTCAGGTCACCTCCTTCTGCAGCAGAAAGCTTCGCAAGTGGCACTGCTGCTTACAGTCTGCTCATGTTTCCTTGCTCCAGAACCCCGAGGCTGCCCTGAGATTCTCAGTCATTCTGTGGGGATGTCAGAGAGCCCTGCTGGACCCAAACCCACGATGCTCCGGGCCGACATGCCCACGGCGCCCTCCTTCCAGCGGGCATTCACATCCTCCTGCACCATTTCTGGCAACAGCCCCAGCCAGCGGAGAGGGAGGTAAGGTGGTCATTGAACCAAACACAGGCTGCTCTTACAGACCCAAGCCTGAACACCACAGAGGGAAGGGGCGGGGGTCTCGTCCTCCACACGACACTGGGCCGCCTTGTGCACTGATAGCCATCGGTCTTCAAAAATGCAGTCAAAGTAAAAACTCCTGTGTCCACCTTCACTTTTAGAGGTGGGGTGCTCAAGGAACACACTGCTGTTAGAGTCTGGGCCCAGCAGCCAGTTAAGGATTGTGAAGGCATTGTCTGAGCTGAGGCTGGAAAACGGGGTACAGTGGTCAAGCTAGGAGGGGGCCTGCCCAGGGCTGCAGGCTGGGGGTGGGGAGGGCAGGCAGGATGCACTGCTCTCGGGGGAAAAAAGGAATTTGTGCTAGTGTTTGGGAAAGCCTGGGGTGTAGAGGGTCATGGATAAAGAGAAATGTCCTATTTCTGCTTCACAAAGGACTGCCCTAGTGCAAATTCACATGCTCAGGGTAGGAAGCATTTCTTAGTCTTTTACTTGTGGGCACATTGCTCTGCAGTTATCACCCTGAATCCCACCTCATTTCTTTACAAAGAAAGGGGCACATTGCATATCAGGACTTAACATTACACACACAGCAAATACGTGTTTGCTAGTGAGATATACGTGTTACTTGTCTTTCTGTATTTCTAAATATAGTTTCCAATATTCTTTTTATAATGAAGTTTATTCATTTTTAATTGAAGGATACTTGCTTTATAATATTGTGTTGGTGTGTGCCAAACATCAGCATGAATCAGCTGTAGATGTACCTATGCCCCCTCCTTTCTGAACCTCCTCCAGGATTCTTACTGTTGGAATTTCCCATTTCTGACATGGTAATCTCTTGTGTTCTTACTGGTATCCTTAATCAGTCAGTGGTCCTGCAAGCACTTATTGAAAATTGACTGTGTGCGGACCGATGTTGGGCCTGGGGAAGAAGAAAGCCAGGGGAAGGGGTTTAAGCAGGTACCTGGTTGGTGCCTGTGTGTTGGGACCAGAGGAAGGACACTACTAATCCCTGTGCTCGCATGGACACGGGCAGGGAGGGCTTCAAAGTCAGGACGCAGTGGAGCTGCGGCTTGAACTGAAGAGAAGAGGGGACTTTGCAGGTCAGAGTGGAAAGGAAGAGGCACACAGGCTATAGAGGCAGGGAGGGCCGCCTCCCCTCCCCGAGCTTGTGGACTGAGCATCTGGGGTGAATGGTCAGGTGGGAGGCTGGAGAAGCAGGGCCTGAGTTCTGATATTTGGGGAGCCCCACGCTGCTGCAAGGGGAACCTCAGTACCCTGCCTCTCGTCCCCGTCATGTGGGAACCGATGCTAATTCCTGGACTAATTAGACTAATTTCCCTAATTAACCAATGCTAATTCTCCCTGGATATGTCATTGTCTTGCCGTTTGTGTTTTGAACAGCCCTTCCTCAGCTGAGCACCAGTGGGTGGAGAACAGCCCCAAGTCCACGCTGACCCTCCTGGGGGGCAGCCGGCCTGGCAAGGATGGCCCCGTGCGGCCCCACTTCCCGCCTACCGACCTCCAGACATCCTTCCACGGCCCCGAGCTGTCCCTGGCGGAGCCTCCGGAAGCTCTGGGTCCCCCGAGCAGCCAGGCCTTCCTGAGCTTCAGCACTGCCCCAATGACGGGAGGTGGGCTCCCCGCTGGGGAGGACGCCGGGGCCTTGTTGGCCAATTCCCACGGAGCAGCCCAGGCCCCCGGCAACCCACTGACAGCAGCTGAGGCTGCCGACAACAGCTTCCTGTCCCACAGCTTTCTCACGGTGGCGCCTGGACACAGCGGCCACCACAGCCCGGTCCTGCAGGGCCCGGGACTGGCTCTGCCCGGGCAGCCACCCCTTCCTGAGAAGAAGCGGACCTCAGAGGGAGATCGGTCTTTTGGCTCCGTCTCGCCATCCTCCAGCGGCTTCTCCAGTCCTCATAGCGGGAGTACCATGAGCATCCCTTTTCCAAACATCATCCCAGACTTTTCCAAGGCCGCCGAGGGGGCAGCACCTTTCCCAGGTACGTGCATCTCCATGGGTAGGGCCCATCCTTGTGCTCAAGCCTGCGCTCGGGCAGGGAAGCACCTGGGGTTACAGCTCGGCCTGCCCAGTGAGCACCAGTGCTGTTACTGGGCTGAGTGCCTTGACAAAAGAATCCATAGCCTTCAAGGGGGCTTTTCCATCTCACTGTAATAAAGTTAGTTACTCGGTCGTATCCAATTCTGTGACCCCATGGACTGTAGCCTGCCAGGCTCCTCTGTCCATGGAATTCTCCAGGCAAAAATACAGGCATGGGTTGCCATGCCTTCCTCCGGCGGATCTTCCTAATCCCGGGACCAAACCCACATGTCCCACATTGCAGGCGGATTCTTTACCGACTGAGCCACCAGGGAATCCTAGCCTAGCCCAAAGGAAAATAGCAATCTAGAGCTGCCTCTTAATTCACCTGGGCTTGCCAGGTGACCCTAGTGGTAAAGAACCCTTTTTGGCCAATTCCCACGGAGCAGCCCAGGCCCCCAGCAACCCACTGACAGCAGCTGAGGCTGCCGACAACAGCTTCCTGTCCCACAGCTTTCTCACGGTGGCGCCTGGACACAGCGGCCACCACAGCCCGGTCCTGCAGGGCCCGGGACTGGCTCTGCCCGGGCAGCCACCCCTTCCTGAGAAGAAGCGGACCTCAGAGGGAGATCGGTCTTTTGGCTCCGTCTCGCCATCCTCCAGCGGCTTCTCCAGTCCTCATAGCGGGAGTACCATGAGCATCCCTTTTCCAAACATCATCCCAGACTTTTCCAAGGCCGCCGAGGGGGCAGCACCTTTCCCAGGTACGTGCATCTCCATGGGTAGGGCCCATCCTTGTGCTCAAGCCTGCGCTCGGGCAGGGAAGCACCTGGGGTTACAGCTCGGCCTGCCCAGTGAGCACCAGTGCTGTTACTGGGCTGAGTGCCTTGACAAAAGAATCCATAGCCTTCAAGGGGGCTTTTCCATCTCACTGTAATAAAGTTAGTTACTCGGTCGTATCCAATTCTGTGACCCCATGGACTGTAGCCTGCCAGGCTCCTCTGTCCATGGAATTCTCCAGGCAAAAATACAGGCATGGGTTGCCATGCCTTCCTCCGGCGGATCTTCCTAATCCCGGGACCAAACCCACATGTCCCACATTGCAGGCGGATTCTTTACCGACTGAGCCACCAGGGAATCCTAGCCTAGCCCAAAGGAAAATAGCAATCTAGAGCTGCCTCTTAATTCACCTGGGCTTGCCAGGTGACCCTAGTGGTAAAGAACCCTTTTCCCAGTGCCGGCGACTCAATCCCTGAGACGGAAAGATTCCCTGGAAGAGGAAATGACAGCCTGCTCCAGTATTCTTGCCTGGAGAATCCCATGGACAGAGGAACTTGGTGGGCTATTGTCCATAAAGTTGCAGAGTCAGACATGACTGAGCATGCACACACTTCTGCATTTATTCATATTCGGTTTCATTCAACAGCAGAAAATGCTGGTTGTATAGAACCACGGTGGTTCTATCTTTTTCCCTTCCACTTGGAGTCAGTGCTCTGTAATAGTAATTAAAAAATTAAACGAATGCATTTGAAATTTAATTGTCTAATGTTTCAAATGTAGAAGAAAGAGTTAGACACTGATAGGAGTGAGGGACCCCAGCCTTGCTCTGCGTGCTTCCTGTCTTTCTAACTACGTGTGGGTGAAATGGGGAGCCTGATGGTGGAGGCGTCCTGCTGTCTTCGTGTTTTCTGTTATCAAACAGCCATTCCCTGCTCCGTGTCAGGCTTCTCCCCTGCAGTTAAATAGAGTGCTCTCACCTGGGGTGGGACTTTGAACTTCTAGGTCCCTTTGAGGTGAGAGGTTGCAATTAAAAAATGCCCTTCACAGTTACTGTTTTTAAATTTTGTTTTGCAGATAATCCAGGTGATAAGCACGTGTCTGTGAACTTTGTTCAGGACACATCCAAGTTCTGGTACAAGGCGGACATCTCCAGAGAGCAAGGTGCGTGGGCCAGATGAGGACCCTGTGTCTAGGGTAGGAGTGTCGGGGAGGCATCACCTGGGGATGGATGAGTTAGAGCAAGGCCTGCACTTCATTACCCACCTCGGGGGAAAGGCCACGATCCTTTAAGTTTTTATTGTAAAACATCATTCCTAAGGAGGGAGCCAGCCAGCAAGGGCACCAGCCATGATCATTCCAGTGTTGGGGTGTAATTTCTGGTGGTTTCCACCAGCCAAGGTCTAGCCAGTGTTGCCCGTGATGGCCACAGATTGTGATGAGATGTCATGGGTCCCAGCCTCAAGGGGAAGTCAAGGGGAAGAAGTGTCTTTCCTATTAATGGGCACACCTGCCTGTGTCACATCAGAAGGACAGACTGCCGGCAGCCTTAGCCCAGTTCTCACACACACAGCACAGTGACTCTGGGTGTGCAGTTCAGTCTTAAGACAGCTGGCAAATATGAGAAATGGTTAATACTGTTGAGCAGCTAAGTTTCATGTCACTTTTTACTAGAACATGAATGTAAGAGATGTCCCAGAAGGAAGCTGGCATGCCGTTGGTGGTGGGCCCTCTGGGACAGGCCCTTAGGTGAACAGCACTCCCTTCAGCAGAAATTCCTGGGATCCCTGCGAGGTGCTGTCGTCCTCCCTGGAGGTGATGCCTGTGGACTCATCACTCCAGGCCTGTCTCGGAGAGGATGACGTGGAACTGGCTGGGGGGCTGGCAGACGCTGGTCAGGATGCCCAGGAAGGCGGTTCCCCAGGGTGGCTGGGGGTGCTGGACTGAGAAAGGGGATGGCGGGTCTTCCAGTGGCCAGGCGTGCTAAACACATGGTGAACCGCTGCTCTGTGCTGGGATCTCAACTTGGGGAAAAAGTGAGAACTGCTCTCCTGGGGAATTCTTCAGAAATGCCTGGATGTGAATAGTTAAATGGCTGGAAAACAGCGCCGTCCAACTTTTTCATAGAAATTCTTATACTCAATTAGGCAGATAATAAAAATGGTAAGAATGTGCCTTTCTTCCCATGAGCTCAATGGACCCATTGTCATGTCGTGTGGGGGGAGCCCTCTTGGCCCGGAGCGACTTCTGAGTCCCTGAATTGGCCTTTGTGTTGTGGGCGCTCACCACGTCTCAGGCTCTGGTGTGGCCAGATGCCGTTCCTGTCCCCTCCCTGCTCTGGTTGCAAGAGTCCCCTTAGCTCTAGTGCCCAGTGCCTCATCCAGCCCACAGACCCTGAGAGGTGCTCATTGAGGACCTTGTTCTAGAGTATTCTAAACAGACCACCCTACTCCAGCGGCTCAGCCTTTCAGACCCGGGTGAAGGCTGGGCTGGACTGTCTCCTTCTCTGAATGAAGAGGCAGGCTTGGCTGGAGTGTGCCCGGCGGGTCCTGCAAGACAGGGATGGCACAGCCTGCCTCATAGCGTGTGGGGGAGAGACTCTGGGTGGAGGGAGCCTCCCTTGCTGGCATCTGCTAGGCAGTAGGAGTCCTTGTTGTCATTTGCCTAATCTTGCTGTGCTTATTCGCTCCTTTATGTCCGACTCTTTGCGACCCCATGGACTGTAGCCCGCTAGGCTCCTCTGTCCATGGGATTCTCCAGGCAAGAATACTGGAGTGGGTTGCCATGCCCTTCTCTAGGGGATCTTCCCAACCCAGAGATCCAACTCAGGTCTCCCGCACTGCAGGGGGATTCTTTACCATCTGAGCCACCTTAGCCACGCATTTAAAAACATTTCTTTGGGGTGGACCCCATCTCAAAATAGCTAATATGTGCATGGGGCATTGATTTTTCCAGTTGAACTCCAAAAGCGGAACCTCTTCTATTTTCTGGATATTTTGTGCGGACAGCACCTACACAGATGAATGCTCTGGTGGGTGTGCCAACTTCACCAAATGGAAGAAAGCCTCTTGTGGGTTTTGTTGTAACTGCTGGGATGTGCCGTTTTCTGGAAAAACTGTGATGAAATTTCAGGGAGATGCAGCAGGGGGAGGAAACCTATAGCCTGTTTTGGGGCACAGCTGTTCACATATTACTATGGAAAGGTTAGTTCCTTAGGAGTTTTTTTAAACGTGAACATAAAAACCTCAGGAGAAAAGGGGCTCTAAAGTAAAGTAGAAAAAATATTTTTAAATGTATTTATTTTGGGCTGCACTGGGTCTTCGTTGCTTTATGTAGGCTTTCTCTAGTTACAGCGAGCCAGGGCTACTTTTCGTTGCGGCGGTGCGTGGGCTGCTCATTGTGGTGGCTTCTCTTGTTGCCGAGCACAGACTCTGGGTGCTCGGGCTTCAGTACTTGCAGCACTTGGGCTGAGTAGTTGTGGTTCACGGGCTTAGTTGCTCCGAGCACGGCATGTGGAAACTTCCCAGACCAGGGGTCGAACCCGTGTCCCCTGCGTTGGCAGGCGGATTCGTATCCACTGTGCCAGAAGGGAAAGCCTAAAGTAGAAATTAAGTGTGACGTACCAGCTGCGCTCTCTGGTCTCTGCTCCAGCATCCTTGAAAGCTCCAGCTGCAGGGAGAGAGGTGATAAGGATGCGGCTGCTGCCCCTGCAGCCACGCGGCAGACCTGGCCTTGCCCCTGGAGGTACACTAGCTCATTCACACAACTCAGCAAGGGTTCATTTCTGTTTCAGAAACAATGAGTCCAGCATGGCCCTCAGGCTCTCTTGTGCCCAGGTGGCCTGGTGATGGGTGGAGAAGGGGAGGCCTAAGAGGGGAGAATGGGCCAGAGAGGAGCCAGCCTTCCCTCTGCCACCCAGAAGTCTGCTGCCCACGAGGCCGGGGCACTTCTTTGTACCACAGTGAAGTAAAATCATGACTTACAAAGAAAAGGCTCTGATGAGGTTATCACAATTGAAAAAGATAACTTCTGTAAGTGATCTTTCTCCTATTTTAAAAAAATAACGTGTTCAGCCCCCATAATCAGAAAACATGCTATGAGACAAGACCTGCTGCATGGGCCTGGGTCCCTGGTGTCTGCTCCCCATCCGTCTTGGGGTGCCAGAGCAGCAGGTAGGCTGTGGCTCCACGTGTCAGACTTGCACCCCTGGGGTCACACCAGGCCCCCTCCCCTTAGAGAGCATGTGCTTTCCTCTGCTTCTTCCCCACCATGTGCATAAGCTCGTGCTTAGGGCCTGTCCTGCCAGGGGCTGGAGCAGTGCATGGAAGAAGGTGTAGAAGAAACTGGCTGTTTTGTCTGCAACCAAGCAAATGCCATGTTGTAGGGGTGGGGCTGGAGTCAGGGTACACAGAGGGCCTGGAACAGGGGGCTCTCTGGGGTTATTTCCTGTTGCTGACTGTGCTTCCAGCCACTCCCGGGTTAATGTCCGGTCCACTCTACTCCAGACAGGGCCTTGGGCTCTACAGAAAGGTGGCATTCCCATGGCTATCATTGTGTAGTGCTTTATACTTTAAATCCCTAGTTTTCTTGTCATAAAATATATAAAAGAAATCTTGAGAGGTGTTCTGGTTACTAGAGAAAATTCTCACTGGTGTCTGGGCCGCATCAACTTTAGGATACTGTGACGATAACCCATCCCTCTTTTTTCCTGTATCCTGAGCCCAGGACCTGGGAGGCTGGACTTTGAACTGCAAAGGGAGGGATATTAGAGCTCCCTGTGTTCTAGCCTCACTGGGGCAGATGGCAGGGGCAGCGCCAGGTGCATTTCATGGCCCTCACTGGCCGCATCAAACAGGGGTTCATAGCCTCGTCCAGACTGGAAACAACTGGCCACAATCACCACCCCTGCCTCAGAGCTGCGGGACGGAGGGCCACCTACGGCCACCCCCTGGGCCAAGTCTTGGGACTTATTAAATATTCAGTAACTTTGGGGGCACATCCACAGTCTTCAGAAAGTATGATTGGAAATTTCTTTCCTCCTATGGAAAGTTGAAAGTGCACGTTCCAAAATCTCTAAGAACAGTGCCACGCAGGGAGCCGTAGGACAGGGCCACGGCGGGGACCAAGGGGCAGCCCTGCCTGACCCCCTGCTCCGCGCGCTGTGTGCGGAGGCCTGGGCTGGCGGGAACCAGGGGGCCTCGGCTTCCTGGGCTGTCAGGTGGGGTTGTCGCTTGGGCTTCAAAGATGCTACGGGGTTAACAGGAGTTGAGTGTGGAGGCAGCACCTTTGTGATCTGAAGGATGGGCCACCCTGTGCCCCTGTGTCTTTGACAGTCAGGCCCCCACGGGACTTCGGGTCACTGCAGGCTCCCTTACCCTTGTCATGGCCATAAGCGGGGTCAGGCCGTGGCGTCCCCTGCAGACACTCACGTCCCTCCGCTCCCCTCCGCAGCCATCGCCATGCTGAAGGACAAGGAGCCCGGGTCCTTCATCGTCAGGGACAGCCACTCCTTCCGAGGCGCCTACGGCCTGGCCATGAAGGTGGCCACACCGCCGCCCTCTGTGCTGCAGATGAACAAGAAAGGTGGGTCCTGCTCGGCTCAGCGGGCCCTCGCCTGCCAGTTTCCTTTGTCCCCATGAGGTGGTGGATGACCTGCAACAGCACTCATAGGTTTTCTTCTTAGTATTTATTTTTTTCAGGTGTATTTTAGTAAGTACTGTCCTAACTGAAGAAGAAAGGTTAATTTTTTTAAATTTCCTTTTTTTTTTTAACTTGTTTTGATGGGTGATCCATCCCATTGTTCAGATAACAGAACAATAAAGCAAGGCCTCTGATCAGGAGTCTTTGTTTCCATTTTCAGCCCTGTCTGCCTCAGTCCTCTCTTGCCTCCTGTGGGTAAACATCTGTTATAAATTCCTGTGTCTTCTATCTATCTATTCAGTGCACACGAATAGGCATTTTTCCTTTTCTCTTATATAGAAGGTGGCATACAGTATACAAGGTTCTTGTTCCTACACCCTGTAGAGTATTTTGATGGATTGAAGATGAGGCCAGTGCAAGCCTGAAGTCTTTAGACTCTCCCTTCCCAGGGGAAAGGACAAAGACTTCCTCCATCTCTTGTCCAACATTGCACTGGTGGCAAATTCTAGCTGAATAATGTGTAGTGCAGGCAGGGCTTCTTCTGACCTTTGAAATGTTTTCAGTCGGGAACATAACCAGGTACAAAAGAGTTTGCAATGCCTACATGCATAGGTAAACATTATTATGAAGCCGACATGCATGTATCCAACCACAGGTGACAACCTTGTGGGGAAGCCCCTATGTGCCCTTTTCTGTGTTTCATAATCCATCACCACCATGGCTTTTTGGTTTCCAAGGATACTGGATTTAACTAGTTTAGGCCCTTCCAGTGACCCCGTGTCCTTCTGACATACCCACGTTAGCCCGTGAGTGCTCCAGTTTTCTGAAAGCAAGCGTGTTTTAGGCTTACCTTGTACTTCCCCTCCTCCAGCCATTTCTCTAAAGATCCTTGGTTCTTTATATTGGGGAATAGTATCTAGAAACCAAAATCTGATCTCTAGGTTTGCTCTTTGGTATCAGAGTATCACTCCTTCTCCCTAGGACCTGAGCTAGGGAATGTGAAAAGTGAAAGTGTTGGTCACTCAGTTGTGCACCACTCTGCAGCCCTGTGGACTGCAGCCCACCAGGCTCCTCTTTCCATGGGATTCTCCAGGCAAGAATACTGGAGTGGGTTGCCATTTCCTCCTCCAGGGGATCTTCCCAACCCAGGATAGAACTCATGTTTCTTACATCTCCTACATTAGCAGGCAGGTTCTTCATCCAACTAACGCCACCTGGGAAACCTGTCGAAAAAAATTCCTGAGCTCATGCTGATAACCACCCTTTCAAATAAAATATCAACAGGTCTTTTCTCACTGCTCCCTCAAGGACAAGCTTGGTTCCCAACAAAGCAATAGACTTTCTCCCTTCCTCTGTCCCCTAATATATGGCTTCTGGTTTATTCTTTTTTTTTTTTAGTCTCATCCTACCCTCTGTACCTTTTTTTTTTTTAACCAGCTATGCCACAAACTCTAAGGAACGGGAAAAGATTCTTTTCCCATAAATGGAGATTGTGGGCTGGAATGTCAGCAGGTCACATGACTCTTCCTGGGGCACCTGGGCTCACCTGGGTGAGGGAAGGGTGGACCAGAATGAGTGCAGATTCTGCCCCCTTGGTGTTCAGGTGGAGCTTTCAAAGCTAGGTCAAACTTTTTGTTCCTGCATGTGTTGTCTTTTTTGGAAATACAGATGGTGGTGTATAATTCTTAACTTCCAGGCATGCATCCTGCCTCTAAGGTCAATATTGACTCGGTCTTCAGGTGAAGGCGACAAAATGGAGGATTTTAGAATAGCAGATTTCTGGACATGCAGTGTTGCTGGTGTCCTCTTGGTGAAATTTTATCTGGCTGCCAAGTCTTCAATCAGCCCTTGGATCTGGCATTTGGATTTCACAGTGTAAGGACAGATCTGAGAGGAGAGTTGACTAAACCAGGAGAAAGCCCAGCAAGTCACCAGCCACCCCTGGTACCCCCGAGACAGAACAGCGACAGACGTGTGGCGGGGGCTGTTCTCCAAACTCCTACACAGCTGGTTTCCCACTGAGTCACTTCTCACCACCGGCATCCAGACCACACTCCGGGTCTCCCTTCAGTTTAGAAGCCATGGATCATTTTCCTCCCACAGCTGAATGGCAAAATGTTCCTTTCCCCATTTTTATTCAGTACTGCCTTTTATGGAATCTGATCATTTCCTTTCCTACCAGCTATACTGCCCATGCGCAATGCTGACACTGATGTTGATACTTGTCACTGTTGTTTATAATAAGCATTATCAGGGAAGCTGCTGTGGGCCAGGTGTGGGGCCCAAATCTGCCTCTAGCAGATCCAGCCATCAGAAATGTTAGAAGTTACAGCAGACACATTCCTATGGAAACCCGTTCCCATGGAGACACATTCCCAGGGAGGGTGCTGAAGGAGGTAGGACAGAGACACAGCACAGCGTGAGGGTCTGCGGGATTCATTAGCACAGAGCAGTGACTTCTTTCTCTTCTGTTATTTGTACTTTTCCACCACCAGACAGTTTGCCGTTCTGTGGTTTTTCAGGATGCACTTTCTTTTTGGGCTTGTGGGCTGGCATGAACACAGTGTAGTAGCAGTATGATTAGAAGGCTTGCTTTCAGGAGGGGCTTGGGTACCTGACTCCTGGCTAAATCTTACCCAGAACTCTGGCACCCTTCCAGCTCTTTCCACTGATTCATTCTTGGACATTATGCTGTGTCTGGGTCCTAAGCTCTCTTAGGAGGTGAAGGAGCTGGAGGTCCATGTTCTGAGTTCTTAGCTGCTCATTCCCATAACTGGGAATTCCGCAGAATGTTTGAAGCTCTTTCCCAAGGATTCCTCCACCTCCAGTCATGGTCACTGGAGGGAGTTCTAGCTGCCCATCCAGGCAGTGCTCAGCCACTGTCCTGTAATCCAGCTGCTATTTCTGGAGTGGTTATTGGCAGCCTACCTGTTGCAGGGGCCAGATTCTCCTTCGTGCTCTCTCATCCTTCATGCTCTCATTTTAAAAAATACTCTTCTCTTTCTTTTAAATCTCTCCCCACAGCTGGAGATTTGGCCAATGAACTTGTTCGGCATTTTTTGATTGAGTGCACTCCAAAAGGAGTGCGGTTGAAAGGGTGCTCCAATGAACCATATTTCGGTAAGTGGCTGAGCGCCTGACATGGTGTCTGAACCCATGAGCTCCCTCTGCTTGGTCCATCACTCTGCTGGGGCTTCACTCAGAGCATCTACTTTTCATCCCCATTTTTAGATCCATCAGTTATCACTTATAAAATAAACTGGATATGAATTGTTCTTAAAAGCATTCTTAAATCTAGGCAAATAAAATGCACCATGCTAGAACTGGAAATGCAGGTTCCATCAGGTATGGTCCATGCAAGCAAACAGGGAAGTATGGACAAAGTTTCTGGGAGTCCACCGGGCACAAGGAAAGCACAGATTCCCGGTGAGAAGAGATATTTTTTGACCCTGTAGGCATGTCCAAAAGATGGCATGCACTCACAAGCAGAGCTTGAGCAAACCAAAGCATCATCTTACAGAGATAATTCAGTGGTGCCAGTGGGAACTCTCAGAATCGGCAGACTGTGTGACTTGTTCTTTATAAATTGGCAATGGCATATCTTTGGTGAGAATCATCTGTAGTTCCCGTTACCTGCCTCTTCGCCGTCTGCTGAACTTGCTACTCCACTGAAGCTTTGCACAAATTCCCACAGTTATGGAGTATGCAGTTTGCTGAAAATATAAGGTGTCATCCTTTACAGCAGCCTCCTTTCAGTAGATGAGTTGGCTGAGCAATGCAGTATTTAGGGCTGTGTTCACTCCTGTCTGTTCTTCATCCATTCACAGGGAGCCTGACGGCTTTGGTGTGTCAGCATTCCATTACGCCCTTGGCTTTGCCCTGCAAACTGCTCATTCCGGATAGAGGTACGCTGCCAGGGCCGCTGGGCTGCTCTGGCTCTCTGTGTGGGGTCATGCACAGGGTGTTGGAATCCATAGAGATTCAGTGAGAAAAATCAGACCAAAACTTCCTTTCCATCACATGTCTGTGGGTAAACCCTGAATAGGTCAGGTCAGGTAAGAAGAGGTGACCCACTGCCCCTCAGCCTCCACTCATATCTTTATATCTTGGCTTTGTGAAAAGCTCCTATGGAGCAAAGATTCTGTAGCTCAGAAGTATAAAATGCTTGGACTCAGAGACCTGCAAGGTCATTTACATTTCATTTTTATAATTCTACAAAATCAGAAAAATGTTGATATTGTTGACTTTAGGTGCTAGATGAACTATTCTCTTTACCTCTGTGTTTGTTTCAAACTATCCATGAGAAAAGAATTTTTAAAAATAGCACTCATAGCATATGATCAGGCCTATCCCTGCTTTCCTAGGCCATCTCAAGTTCACATAATTGCATTATGTTCCATAAAGATGATTAATTTAAAATAGAGGCAGATGTGACTTACCTTTCAAAATGTAATTGTTCGTATAAATTAATTCTTAGATGAGAAGGGTAGTTTTCTCGCCTGTGCCATCCCAGATTTTGCTTGAAATGTGATGATGGCTTCTCTGGGTGCAGCTCTTGTCACCAGGAGGAAGGCCCAGCTCTGCAGAGCCTGTCTGTCACCCTCTGGGATGCAGTCATGAGCATCCACATTGTCATACATTTTCTTGCTCCTTCTTCCTGCAGATCCGTTGGAGGAAATAGCCGAAAATCCTCAGCAAACGGCAGCCAACTCTGCGGCCGAGCTGCTGAAGCAAGGGGCAGGTCAGTCCTCGATGTGTTTTCCTCTGCTGCTGGCTCCTGGGCAGAGATGGGATTCTTTTCTTGCCTGCAGTCTGGGTTCCTTTCCTTGGTGTGTCAGGGGAGGCTTCCTTCTGTAGAAGCCACTACAGGGCTGGGCTGGGAGCAGCGGGGCAAGTGTCCTGGCAGCCGGGCCAGGACTCCACAGGTGGAACAAGACCAAATTCAGTGGTATAAAAGTCACAGCCTGTGTTTCATTCGGGGAAATGGTCAGATAGACTGTGGATAATGTGCCCCTCCAGCGGATATATAGTAAAGTGATCAATGAGCCCACAGTTTGACCCAGGCTGACACCAACCCCCAGACAGTGAGCTACTGGGGGCACTGTTTTCTTATTAATAGATTTTATTTTTTAGCACAGTTTTGGGTTCACAGCAAAATTGAGAGGGTGCTGCAGAGGTTTCTCACATACCCCCTTCCCCCACACATAGGCACAGCCTCTCTCAATTAACAACATCCTCCATCAGGTGGGACATTTGTTAGAGTTGATGAACCTACACCGACCCATCTCAGTCACCTGGAGATGACATAGTTTACATTACTGTTCACTCCTGGTGTACATTCCATGCGTGCGTGCTAAGTCGCTTCATTTGTGTCCTACTCCTTGAGACCCCATGGACTCTAGCCTGCCAGGCTCCTCTGTCAGTGGAGATTTCCCAGGTAAGAATACTGGAGTGGGTTGTCATGCCCTCCTCCAGGGGTTCTTTGGGACCCAGGGATCGAACCTGAGTCTCTCATGTCTGCATTGGCAGGCGGGTTCTTTACCACGAGCGCCACCTGGGAAGCCCATGGTTTTGGACAAATGTTTAATGACATGTACCCACCATTGTAGTATCATACAGAATAGTTACACTGCCCTAAACATCCTCTGTGCTCCACCTGCTCATCCCTCCTCCCAAATCCTGGCAAACCAATCCTTTTATTGTCTTTGGTTTCACTTTTCCAGAATTTCATATGATTAGAATCATACAGTATGTGGAGCCTTTTCAGATTGGATTCTTTCACTTAGTATTATGCATTTAAGAGTCCTCCATGTCTTTTTAGGGCCTTAGAGCTGTTTCCTTTTAGTGCTGAATAATATTCCATTGTCTGGATATCACGCTTTATCCATTCACCCACTGAAGGACATCTTGAATGCTTATATGTTTTGGTAATTGTGAATAAAATTGCTATAAACATCCACATGCAGGTTTTCATGTGGACGTAATTGTCAACTCCTTTGGATAAGTATCAAGGAGCACAGTTGCTGGATCAGATGGTAAGAGTATGTTTATTTTGTGAGAAACCACCAAACTGTCTTCCCAAGTGGCTGCACCATTTTGCATTCCCACAGCAATGCATGAGACTCCCTCCTGTTCCACACCTTCCCAGCAGTTGATGTTGTCCGTGTCCTGGATTTTGGTCATTCAAAATAGGTGGTTAGTGGTTTCTCATTGTCATTTAAATTTGCATCTTCCCAATGACATGGCGTGGAGCAGCTTTCATGTACTTGTCTGCCATCTTCATATCTTCTTTGGTAAGGTGTCTGTTAAGGTTGTTTGTCCATTTTTCGATAGGGTTGTTTGTTTTCTTACTGTTAAATTTTAAGAGTTCTTTGTATATTTTGGTAACAGTTCTTTGTGAGATTTGTGTTTTTGCAAATACTTTGTCCTAGGAGGCCGCTTGTCTTCTCATCCTCTTGACAGTGTCTCTCAGAGCAAAAGTTTTTAATTTTAATGAAGCCCAGTTTATCATTACTTCTTTTCATGGATCATGTCTTTTGTATCTAGAAACTTATCACCAAAGTAATCTCAATTTTCTCCTGTCTTATAAGAGTTTTATAGTTTACATTTTACATTTACGTCTGTTCTATTTTGAGTTAATTTTTGTGGTGGGTTTAAGGTCTGTGTTTGGATTGATTGTTTTTGCATGTGGATGTCCAGTTGTTCCAGCACCATTTGTGGAAAAAGACTGTCTTTGCTACATTGTATCTCCTTTGTTCCTTTGTCAAAGATCAACTGACTATATTTATGTGGGTCTATTTCTGGACCCTCTATTCTGTTCTGTTCATCTGTTTATCTTATTGTTTCACCAATACCACACTGTCTTGATTACTGGCATTTTATAGTAAGTCTTAAAGTCAGGTATTAATAGTATCAGTCCTCTCATTTGGTTCTTCTCCTTCAACATTGTATTGACTTCCCTGGGTCTTTTGTTCTCTGTATAAACTTTAGAGTAGGTTTGTTCATACCCACAGAGTAAGTTGCTGTAATTTAGATGGGGATTTCATTGCCTCTACAGACCATGTTGGGAAGAACTGACATCTTAATTATATATTGAGTTTTCCTATTCATGAATGTGGAATATTTAGATTAGTTCTTTGCTTTTATTAGTGGGAGTTTTGTAGTTTTCCTCATATAGATCTTGTACCTACAATATTTTATTAGACTTATACCTGTTTCATTTTGGGGGTGCTAATATAAATTGGGATTGTGTTTTTAACTCCAAATTCCTCTTGTTCTTAGGGAAGTGATTAACTTGTATATTTACCTTATATCCTGCAGCCTTGATGTAATTGCTTATTAGTTTCAGGCCAGGCCATTTTTGCAGCATTAGACGCAGTCCTAGTGATCCCAGCTTAAGAGGGCTGTGGACAAGCCACAGGGTTCTTGTGGGTGTGCCCTGCATCTTGACACCAGGGACACTGTACTTTATTTCTGTTCTTCTTAACCCACCTTCGTGGTTATGTGGCAGCGCACCTGCCAATAGGTGTGACTGCTGCCCAGTCTCAGAAGTTGGGGTGGAGGCGGAGCCAGTTCCTGGCCAGGCCTCCAGGGAGACTCTCCCAAAGGAAGACAGTCTGGGTGAGGACACAGCCCGGTTAATCGGTTAATCGCTCCAGTCACAGGAAAGCACTTTCGCTTCTGTTTAGTGAATATCTAGAGGCCTTTTAGAGACAGAGTGAAGATATCCCTACTCACTCTCAGAGCTCCATCTGGCAGAGTGGGGAATGAAAGCAGCTCCGTTCCTGGGAGGGACACATCCCTGGGGAGTAGCCAGGCGAGATCTCAGCTCCTACACAACTGAACTTGAGGCAGAGTCTGAATGTCCCATGGTCACAACAACCCATTAACTTATGCAGGGAGCTATGCTCAGAAGGCCTTCAGGCTGTTTACAAAGCCTCATTCACAATCGGCTATTTGCCTCTCCAAGGGGTGATGGTAATGGACAAGCCCTCAGCCCCCCCGCAGTGTGGGGATGGGACAGGCTGTCCCAGCTCTTTGCCTGCAGACTGTATTCTGAGTCACTGCAAGTCATTCGTTCTCAGCAGCTCTTTCTGGATGCCTGTGCTTTTAGAACTCCATGCAGGGTGGATATTTAGGGTCCAGACGGCATGCTCCCCTCTCGGGATGTTTCCTTAACTGCAGGTGTGGTTGGGCTCTTTTCCTATCTGGCCCACACTGAGGCTGAGGAGGTGCCTCCAGTCCCCCCATCCCCCCAGGGATGCCAGGTATAAATAATGTAGCAGAGGTGGAAACGCATCCTGACCAGTGGGCGAAGTCTCCTTGCCCCAGTGCTGGTGTGTGTGTCTCTGAGTCACTCACTCTCCACGCCTTTGGAATTAGAAATAAAGGGCGCTTGCCTCAGATACACTTGGCCACAAATTTATGCACGTCATTCATAAGCCCCAGGGCCCTTGTGTCTGGCAAACGCATTAACGCTGCTTCCCCCTGTGTCTTCCAGCCTGCAATGTGTGGTACCTGAACTCCGTGGAGATGGAGTCCCTCACGGGCCACCAAGCCATCCAGAAGGCCCTGAGCATGACCCTAGTCCAGGAGCCGCCTCCCTTGTCCACAGTCGTGCACTTCAAGGTGTCAGCCCAGGGCATCACCCTGACGGACAACCAGAGGAAGTGAGTGTGCCCAGCGGCCGGTCTGCTGGGTGGGTGCGCAAGGCTTCTGGCCTCACCTGGGGTTAGACCTCCTACCAGCTCTGCCCAGGCCCCTGGACATGTGGTGGTCATCCCGGCAGAGCTCTGCGGTCCAGGAACAAATCAATGACCTGGTCAGTCTGTGCTTTATCCTGATGTTCAGTATGTCCTCAGAGACACATATAAACTATTAACATTTGGCCCACATGCTGATTTTTTAAGGAATCAGTAAAATTTTTTAAAAAGACACAGAGATCTTTGAGTATCTCTTTGATACACACAGAGTGTGTATGTAATCTGCAAATGCAAAGATCTTATAAGTCATTTCTGCAGAAACACTCAGTGACTATGATAGACTCTCCTCATCTTTGCTTTAGTGTCATTACTTCTAACAGTTGGTTATCCTGTTTCAGGTAAGAGTGTGACCTTGATAGATACTATTTCAGTAGTTAATGTTAATATATATTATGTAATAGATATAATATAAAAGAATAATTTATGTTAATAATTATTAACTGTTATATAGATACTCTACAGTACTCTATCTTAGTTAGCAACATTTGAAATCTAGGCAGATGCTGTTTCAGTTTCTAGGGACTTCCCTCCAAGCTGTCACTGAATAGGTTCCAGATGCGCAGAGATTCATAGAGAGGGGGGCACTTGTGGAGCTCTAGCCGGAGCACAGAGCAGGGTTAGGTGCCTGGACAGAGCAGTGGCAGACATGCTCCTTCCACGAGCAGAGCCTTTGACCTCAGGATCAAAGGCATTTCAGAGGCAGTTTTTTATTTGCTATGGAAACAGCCTGCTGTGGTTAATGAGGGAGCCCGATCAGCTGCCCTAAAAGCAGAGTGGTGGCAGGAGCTTCGAGGGGTAGGCCGCCACCAGTCCCCATGCCGGCTGGAAAGGCAGCGCCCACCCCAGTGCCCGAGGAGCTCTTCCCAGCATGACCGCTGCTTCAGAGCTAGTCCTGGGCTTGGGAGGGGCTCTGAACCACTGCTCTCAGGATGAAATAGGTGGGGAGTGTGGGGTGTGAGTTCTGCCACTCAAATTGGGGTCCTCGCTCCCCTTTTGATCCAAGTGGTCCGCATAGCAGGTCCCGCATGCCTTACAGTCGGTTCCCTCACTTTTCAAGCTGCACCGAGGTAAGTGTCTTGGAATGTTTGTGACTCGAATGAAATAGACACAAACTGCCAGCCTGGCTCAGCCGAAGCGTGGACACAGGGTCGGGCGGGACAGCACGGCTCCTTCCTTTGCAGACTCTATTTTCTTCTGCTACCGGTGTTCTGTTTGTGAACCTCTAGTTTCCCCTGGTGCTTACAAAACCCTGGGAATTGGGCTGCGCCCACAGCACTCAGGATCTTTCTTTTTGCCAGAGACAGAGCATGCCTGTACAGCTGATGCTGGATAAAGGGGGCTGTGTCCTCAGCATCCCCCATGGAAAGGTGCCTGGCTCTGCCCGCGCCTTTCCTTCATGCTGGCCTTTGGGGACACCACCTTCCTCAGGAGGAGGGGGCACTTGTCCAGGTGGAGTGGGGCACACGGGGCTGGCCGTGAAGCAAAGGACGAGTGACCGGGGCTGGGAGCAGTACAGAGGTGTCCTCTGATGGTTCCCCCCAGCAGCTGTACTGGCCTGGCATTAGCAGCACCTCCCAGTGGATTTAATGTGCATAGTTTACAGCAGGCCGATAGATCCCTCATGGGGGTGACTAGGCTCCTCTCGCAGGAGAATGGTGGGCTATACTGAAGCCCTTTTCACAGGCAGTCATCTAAGGCTCTAGACAGTTGGTGGTTTCCTGGGATGAAGGCAGGAAGGCCAGGCCTCACTCAGTTTGATGCAGTTTCTCCATTTTGCTCCTCACGGTGCTTGCCTTCACCCCAAGACTTGCTCCTTCCCAAACACCAAGCTTCATATGTCTGCTGATTTCTAACAAATGTACACTCTACTCTTCTCTCCAGATGACCAGTAAAAGCATAAAATAGGCTTCTGTCCCCCCAAACGTGCTCATGGGGGGCCCTCCTAGGGCAGCAGTGTCACTGCGAGACCCCAGTGATGGGCTCATGCTCCCCTGTGTCTCTGCAGGCTCTTCTTCAGGAGACACTACCCCGTGAGCAGTGTGATCTTCTGTGCGCTGGATCCACAGGACAGAAAGTAAGATGCCCGTATCCCTACTAAGCGATGCACATGCTTCCTTGGCTTTTTAAGTTAATAAAGAAATTAACGTGACTCTTCTCTTTCTCTGATTTACAAGGTGGGTCACAGACGGCCCTTGCTCGAGGTACGTTGCCAGCCTGCCTTTATCCTCTCTCAGTTGACACTCACTCCACTCCAGATCTCCAAAGAGGAAGATGACAAATAATGCTTATGGGTTTGAATTTGGCTTTAAACAAAAATGCAAGTGTTCTTTTTATGCAGAAAGGGCCTGCCGAGGGTTAACTTTTCTGTTTGCTCTTCTCTGAATGAGCAACACTTCCATTTGACCCATAAAATAGGGTATAAATAGCATGAAGCAGATTGCATGGCGTTTCCGGCAGTTGAGGAGGGGGTTGGTTGGTGTGTTAAGAGGGAGGGCCGCGTGGGTGCAGTAGGCGTCAGTGCTTCCCAGATGAGAGGGAGCACGGCTGTCCCCCAGCCCTGCTGCCCGTGTAACCTCAGATCCTCCAGAGCTGTCTACACCCCCACAGGTGGGCATCTCCATGTCACCTAAATTTGATGACCGCAAATGTCTCACCACAGGAGCCCTTGCCTGGGATTCCGATTTTGTGTTTGTAACTTTGTCTCAGCATCTGATAAAGTGCTAGGAGGCCTCCCCAGGCCCCCAGAAGGGGCAGTACCCCCGGGCCACCCCAACTCTGGCTCTTAGGACCAATTGCACTCCCCACACGTGGGCTGTGCTGCCCTGGAGGGTCGCTTGAGAGCCATGGCCTGTCCCTCCTGTGGGGTGGAACCTACTCAGGTCAGATAAAAACATCCTTCATTTCTCTGAGAAAGAGAAGAAGGACCTTAGATAAGGGATAATCCAGGGATTTGGGTTTGGATAATGGTAGTTATTGTGTTGTTTGGGCCTCACAAAAGCTTATTCAGAAAAAATAGATTGTGCTGTTCTTTTAGACAGTTTCCTCTCCTGCACATATGTGGCCCGGGCAGGGAGCCCCTGGTGTGTTTTTAGAAGCCCTGTCCTCCAGCTTCAGTGGCTGGGAGTGTGGGCATCTAGGCAGAGCCCCCCCAACCCCAGGAACTGAGACTGGGGTGCTGGCATCCGCAAGTGTGTGTGCCTGTCTGCGCCCGTCTGCTCTGATGGTGTGAGGAGAGAACAGGCAGCTCCTGTGGTGGAGCAGAGGTCCTCCCCAGAGACTCGGGACTGGTGCCCAGGAGCTGACGGGTCTGGAGGGTTCCAGCCAGGCTGGACCCAAGTCTTCAGTTCAGATCCCAGTCTCATGGCCGGCCCTCCCCAGCCCTGCCCCTCAGGTTCCTCCCCTGCGAAGTCTGGGCACAGCATCCTCCCTGCTGCCATGGAGGGGGTGTGCAGGCAGGTGTCTGGCAGGGGATATGGTCCCGAGATTTTGGAGAGGTGGTAGTTAGAGGCGATAATGGTGAGGGAAGAAGCGGAGGCATGCACCCTGTGGGAGGGGTGGGCCTCGGCCAGCATGCTGACCCACCTTTCCTGTTGCAGAGTCTTTGGATTTGTGGCCCGGAAGCAGGGCAGCGCCACGGACAACGTGTGCCACCTGTTTGCAGAGCATGACCCCGAGCAGCCGGCCAGTGCCATCGTCAACTTCGTGTCAAAGGTCATGATCGGCTCCCCTAAGAAGATCTGAGCCCTCACAGCCCAGAGACTCCAGAGGGGCCGACGTGACCTTGGTAGTCCAGCACCAGGAGGGGAAGGGGCTCCTTCGACTTTTCAAACATGAGAACAAACAACCTTGCCACCTGTAGCCTCTGTTGAGGGGCACAGCTCATGGATGCATTTCTGTAGCCCAGTGCTTTCTGGGCAGAGGAAGTTGGACATCAGGTGCACCCATCCAGTCCCTGCTTGGGAAAGAACCATTCAAGGAGACGTGGGGACCCCTGTTCCTCTCACTCTGGTGTTTATGGGAAGGAGGGGAGTCCAACCCGCTCCCCGTGACCCTGAGTGCCTCATGACTGCCATGTCAGAGCACTCCTGACCAGTGGACATGCCAGGGCCTCTGTCCTCCCACAATGGAGATATTGATTAACCTGAGAAGGGGATGCATGTTGGTTGAAGGTTCGTGCAGGTCAGGCCCTCCTGGAGCACTATGGCATCGTGGGCGAGGGGACGATGTGATGGGCGGTGAGGACAAGAAAGGTCACATTGGTCACGGTGAGGCCAGAGTCCAAGCGTGGGGACAGCTCCCCATCTCCGCTCACATACCAGGTCTGAATGGTGCACTGGGCCGTGAGAGGGGAAAGTGAGAAGATAGGAGGAAAGCCTCATTTCCATATAATTTATATTTTACTTTTGCCACGTTATTTATGATAACAGTTTGCCACTGTTATGCTGTACTGGTGTCTACATGCTGCCGTCTGCCAAGGTCAGGGTTCTAAGACGAGTGTCTACCCCCGGTCAGATGCACCAGGAGTGCAGTGTGGACTCTTGGCCATGCTCTCAGCCGTCATTGCCCGAGGGCACCTGCCAAAACTGGCTTTGCCTCAAGCAGCCTTCCAAATGCTTGACCATCCATATTTGGTTTCCACAAGCAGCCTTTCGAATGCTTGACCATCCACATGTGGTTTCCTGGCTGCAGATACAGCCTTTCTAGGGAGGAAGGTCTTGAGGGGTGGGACACGATTAGTTTGAGACTCAGGCCTGCTCTGCATCGCTGTCCTCGGCCGTCGGGGCCTGGGAAAGATCACCGCCCTAGAACCGTTCACCTGCAGGAGTGCTCATCTGTCTCCACCCTACCTGTTGTCTCCCATTGGGATCCATGTGTTCTGGCACCTGAGCAAGGGGAGGTGTTCTAACACTGTTTCCCAGCTCTTCTGCATCATCTTAGGCACCAAATCAGGCATGCTGTTTATGCCGATGTGCATGTTGCTAAGCGGAGGTCTGTCCACCTGAATCTGTCAGTGGTCAAGAGGTTTGGGAGAAGCCAGTGGTCCTGCGGGCTCCCCAGAGCAAGAGACAGAGCTGCACAACATCGTCATAAAGCCCCCGTCTCCTTCCCCATCGCCCCAGACGTTCATGCTGCAGCTCTCCATCCCCAGAGAACTGTCCATCTCCTCTGCTTCCCAAATCAAGCACCAGCTCTTCAAACACCAGGAATCACCGCAGCAGTCATCACGCTAGTGTTTGGAAATGTGCTCTGTGGATTCTTTGTTTCTAAAGTGGGGCAGAGACAGTCAGTGACAGGAGAGGTGGGATCCACCGAATCCAGTGGGCACTGTTTGTGTGTGTGAGTGTGTATGTGTGAAAGCAGGTGGGTGAGTCCACTGTTTAGCTCCTATTGATGCACCAACACAAGTGCCTCATTTTTGTGCCAAATGTCTGCCTTGGTCCTTGTGGACCCTTTTCTCTGATGCGTGGTGGCGTGGCCAAGGAGAACGTGCCGGTGTCTCCCAGAGGCCTGATGCCTTGGTTGCTGGGGTGGGAGCGTCTAGCATTTCAGTTTTTCATTTACAGCAGAACTCGGTGAAGAGGAGCAGAGTTTTGTACTGGCCCCCAAAGGGGCCTCCTCCTGAGATGCTGGTCCACAAGTTTGATGCAGAGGCTGCAAGCCAGGTCCCTTATCCTTCTGACAGAGGAAGAAAGGGCTCATGAGGGGTTCCGGACTTAGTAGCATCAACTTCCCCAATCACAGAGGGACGTTCTCCTGCCCCTGGCTGTCCTCGTCCAGATCACGCAAGCCATGACATTTGATTTTTAAACTTCTACTCTCAGTGGTCAAGGAAGTTTCCTCCCAGCAACCGGCTCCCTCTGGAGTAAGGAATGAAAGGAATCGAGTTTCCTGGTTTCTGAGGAGCTGGTACAACAGTGTGTTACATATGCATAAAATGGAACAAGACAAGTCCATGAACTTTGTGCTCAGACCTTGGGCAGCCCCACCACCAACACTGGCTCTGGGCAGACAGGGAGGGAACATCCCCAGGCATCTGGGGTGCCCATGGGCACAGGGGTACTGTCCTGGATTGTGCACAAGGACTGCACCCCACTAGCATCATAGCCTCATAGCCAGAGCCTGTTAACCTGCTCATTAACCTATGCTGTATTCCTCCAGTGTTAACCTGTAAACGTATTAAGTCACATCGCATTTAAGGGTCTCCATGTGTATTCTCGGCATCAGAGACCTCATTGTCTCCTTCTCTGCCTTACCTAGTAGTGGATATTTTTACTTATATTGTAAAGAATATATCCAGTATGTAAATGAATGTTCTATAAATCCTTTGTATAGTCATTTTTTCTGCTCTTTAAATATCACCTCTATTCAGAGTATAATAAAAGTATAAACTTAATAAGCCTCACTGAGGCAAGCATTTGTGGTGTTAGATGGAAGTACCCCACAGGGTGTATGCAAGTGTGGATGGGTGTGTGTGCATGTCTGAATATGCCTGTGTGTGTGTGTATCTGTGAGTTTGAAGGGGATTGTGTATGAATGAGTGGATTCACTTACAAACATATTGTATATTTTTCCTTCAGGAATATAGTTTGATTTCTGCCCAGAGACTTGGAAATTTTATTCAGAGATTTTAAGAATTTAATAATGACGTGGTATTGATCATAGGTGCTGCTACGTTTTTGATGTTGATATAAAGCCCCTAATCCAGTAGCTGTAGGAGGAAGCTCCTAGTGTAGATCAGCCTCTAATGGGACTTCCCATGTGTTTAACTAGAGAGGGTGCTGAACCTGAATATAAAAAGTCCAGTTATGTCCGACTCTTTGTGACCCCATTGACTATAGCCTGCCAGGCTCCTCTGTCCATGGAATTCTCCAGACCAGAATACTGGAGTGGGTAGCTGTTCCCTTCTCCAAGGAATCTTCCCAACCCCGGGATCAAACCCAGGTCTCCCACGTTGCAGGCGGATTCTTTACTATATGAAGAATAGTATATTCTTCCCACCAGAGAAGCCCCCAAAGTCCAGTGGGTTCACTTATTTTTTTTCAATAGATGCTGGTGACAGCCCCAGCACAGCCCTATAGGCTCTCGTGGGCTTGTGGGGCTCATCCCCCAGCTAGGTGGAGCCCTACTGTGCTGGCTTTCCGCCCTCTAGGGTAGGTTCTTTCCTCAGCTGGAGCAGAAGAAGCCATGGGGATTAAGCCACTTGGATGGTGGCTTCAGTTCCACCGGCTATGCCAGAGCCTGCAACAAGAAAGGAAGATGAAGCTGGGTATGACCAGTGCGTGTGAGATTTGGATCCTGGCTGTGATGCACACTGGGGCCAAGGCATGTCCAGGCTCAGGACTGTGGCGACCATCCACGTGACTTAACCCCCAGGGCTTCTGCTCCAGCTCAGGAAAGAAACAGAACCTGGGCCCATTTTGGTTATGGACTGATAAGGAGCTGGCCCCCTCCGCAAACCTCAAAGTTCCCTCACAGCTGGGTATACCTGTGCAGTCTTCTGCTTTCTGCTCTGCTGACATGTCCAGGGGGCTGCGCTGTGAAGCGGGACCTGCCCTGGCCCCAGGGTTGGTGCTGAGAGTGGAAGGGAGAGCAGGTGGCGGTGGCTTGAATCTTATCCAACAGAAGGTTCTCACTAGGCCCTGGACCCTTGACCAGTGTCACAGCAGGGAGTAAAAGTGGAGGGGCTCTGGTTCTACCCATCTTACAGGTGCACTTTCAAGGACACGGTCTGGATTTGTCACCACAGCCCTAGACTACAGAGAGAACTGTCAGAGACCCAATGCCCCCAGGCCTCACTTGACAGCTCTTGCCTAACAGGGGGCGGCGTGGCGGGGTGGGGGGGGCTTCACCACTCCCTGTTCATCACTCAGCCATATATTAGTGACCGCCCCTTTGCCCCACCCACTTGGGGTCCTGGACTTATCAGTCCCCTTGCCCCGCCCACTTGGATCCTGGACCTATCAGTGACAGGCCCCCTTTGCCCCACCCACTTGGATCCTGGGCCTATCAGTGACAGACCCCCTTTGCCCCGCCCAGTTGGATCCTGGACCTATCAGTGACAGACCCCTTTGCCCCGGCCACTTGGATCCTGGACCTATCGGTGACAGACCCCCTTTGCCCTGCCCACTTAGGTCCTGGATCTATCAGTGACAGATCCCCCCTTGCCCTGTCCACTTGGGTCTTGGACCTATCAGTGACAGACCCCCTTTGCCCCGCCCAATTGGATTCTGGACCTATCGGTGACAGCCCCTTTGCCCCGCCCACTTAGGTCCTGGACCTATCAGTGACAGACCCCCCCTTTGCCCCGCCCACTTAGGTCCTGGACCTATCAGTGACAGACCCCCCCTTTGCCCCGCCCACTTGGGTCCTGGACCTATCAGTGACTGTCCCCCTCTTGCCCTGCCCACTCATGTCCTGGATCCCTTAGTTATGGCCCCTCACCAGCCTCTTGGGGGCCATCAGTTCTGACCCTTCATGGTCCTGGTTTTTTGTCTCCTAGAGGTTTGTGTGTGGTCTCCAAGGTGGTGGGATGAACTGCCCCCCCACCGTGGCCCAGAGGTCACGTTTCACAAAGCAGGGGCACTGGAGCCCGGCTCAAGACTGAACTGGAGCTTCCAGGTGGACCTGGGGTACAGGGAAGGGACATTGCACGACCTGGGAATGGGCTGTGTCTGGTCACATTTGAGCTGCAGCGTTGTTGAATTTGCAACAAGAAAAATGGTCCAAGAACAAATGACGTTGAAGTTCCTGAGGAATCAGACCACAGCCCAATCACAGTCCAAGCCTGGACTGGGGCAACAGTAGGGGTTTGGTGGGCTCCCCAAAAGCCTGTCACCTGTGGGGGTCCTAGCAAAAGGGATTCTGCCACAACTGACCTGGTTGCCAAAGCCTTTAGTCCTTGGGGACCTGAGACTTCCTTCCCCATCCCAGAGACAGATACCGGGGTGGTGGGGGCATAGGCAGGGGTCCTGCCCCCTCCTGGAAGCACTCTGTGTCTCCCACAGACAAGGGATCGCCCACAGTAAATGCCAGGCCAGGGAAGGCTCTCTGAGCCTCGGGCCTGCCAACCCTCCACCCCTCAGGCAACCCTACAGGGGCCAGTGAGAGCCTAAGTGCAGTTCAGTTCAGTTCATTTCAGTCGCTCAGTCGTGTCCAACTCTTTGTGGCCCCATGAATCGCAGCACGCCAAGCCTCCCTGTCCATCACCAACTCCCAGAGTTTACTCAAACTCATGTCCATTGAGTCGGTGATGTCATCCAGCCATCTCATCCTCTGTCGTCCTCTTCTCCTCCTGCCCCCAATCCCTCCCAGTATCAGGGTCTTTTCCAATGGGTCAACTCTTCGCATGAGGTGTCCAAATTATTGGAGTTTCAGCTTCAGCGTCAGTCCTTCCAATGAACACCCAGCACTGATCTTCCTTAGGATGGACTGGTTGGATCTCCTGCAGTCCAAGGGACTCTCAAGAGTCTTCTCCAACACCACAGTTCAAAAGCATCGATTTTTTGGTGCTCAGCTTTTGTCACAGTCCAACTCTCACATCCATACATGACCACTGGAAAAACC